CAAAATAGAAATACCATTTGACCCAGGAATTCCACTCCTAGGAATTTACCTTAAGAATGCAGTAGCCCAGTTTGAAAAAGACAGGTGCATCCCTATGTTTATCACAGCTCTATTTACAATAACCAAGAAATGGAAGCAACCTAAGTATTCATCAGTAGATGAATGGATAAAGAAGACGGGGTACATATACACAATGGAATATTATTCAGCCATAAGAAGAAAACAAATCCTATCATTTTCAACAACATGAATGGATCTAGGGAGTGTTATACTCGGTGAAATAAATCAGACAGAGAAAGACAAGTATCAAATGATTTCACTCATCTGTGGAGTATAAGAACAAAGCAAAAACTAAAGGAACAAAACAGTAGCAGACTCAACCCAAGAATGGACTAACACTTACCAAAGGGAAAGGGACTGGGGAGGATGGGTGGGTAGCGAGGAATAAGGGGAAAAAAGGGGCATTATGATTAGCACACATAATGTAGGGGAAGGCAGTATAACACAGAGAAGACAAGTAGTGACTCTGTAGCATCTTACTACGCTGATGGACAGTGACTGTAATGAGGTATGTGGTGGAGACTTGATAATAGGGGGAGTCTAGTAACCATCACATCGCTCATGTAAATGTGCATTAATGACACCAAAATAGAATAAATAAAAAAATAAAAAAACAAAAAACATTTTGGATCATGTATCAGTGGTCCTTAACCTTTTTTTGGTTCATGGGGCAAAAATTATGGACTCACTTTCCAGAGAAATATGCATATGTTTGCAAAAATTGATACTTAACTTCAGAGGAATTTCATGGGGCCTCTGAAGCTCATTTCATGACCCTGGCAGAGAGTAGGTAATTGATAAATAATAGTGAAATTAATTCAAAGCAGTCCTTAAGTTTGTCTTATATACACATACCTCCCTAGCCTTAGTTACCAAGTTACCTCTGTACTTCCTGTGTCCCATGGTTTTGTTTCCCGTTTCCTCATACCCTCTTAGCTCTGTCGAAATACCATATGCTTTCTTTTACCCATCCAGTCTTCATAACCTTAAGGAACAGGTTAAGGCTTGTCTTTTCTACTAGTATTTTCTCAATTTATTCCAGATTATGTGACTTCTTCCTCAATTTCTGTGATACTCAATGTGTCAAATATGTGGAAATTCATTCTGCTTTGGCCTGTAGCTTGTTTGTCTTTAGTGTGCTGTTGTTTACTTTTGTACTGAAAATTAACTCATCAGAGGGTTAGGTCTCTCTCTCCAAATTCAGTAGGAGTTATTTGGGTGGTTTTCTTTCTTTCATACCTTAAAATGACTAGCAGACTGCCTTGTATATTAGAAGAATTCAATATATTTTGGTCATTAATAAATTCTATGGTAGTCTGATTATGAAGATTTCAGAAGACATAATGACCATGACAGTTTGAGGTATTAATGGAAAGCTTCTAACCCTTAAGTATAATCTGAAGGAACTATAGCTGATGGACTGGTTGGTTAAAAGATAGGGAAACCAAATTCCAAGTGAAGGAGGTAACATGAACAAAATCACAGAAACAAGGGGCAAAAAGACCCATCTGGCTGGAAGAGTGGGTTTATGTGGGAGCAAAGGCAGTAAGTTTGCATAGATTATAGAGGGCCAACTCTAAGTACCTGTACAGCAAGACAGGGAATGACAGAGTTTTGAAACTAGAAGGGTCATTTGTGGCCTTATAGTCTTACTTAATAGCTTATCTAGAAATAATCCTAACCCAGCAATCTGGCAAGAGACTTGCACCATGTTCCCTCAATTATATAATTCTTGAAATCAATATATGAAGCTAAATGGACCATTAGTTTTATCTCCATTATATTCTTATGCTATCAATATCTTGATTTAAATTTCTCCTTGTCCATTTTCTCTCTTTCCTAAAGTTCACCCAATACACTCTGAAATGGGATATTAGGCAGTTGTCTGTAGTAGAGATTCCTTCCAAAAAATGCCACATGCTTTGAGACTTTAGGTTATGTTTCTGTTATCAATTAATAAGCTATGTCAGTTCTTAACTTTTGATTTTTCTGTTGGGGGCTGAGGGGGATTTCCTATAGCAAATGTGTAGCCTGTAGTTGGCCCTGTCACCACTAGATGGAACCGCATCATTGGCCGCGGTGGCCAAGGGGAGAGGAATGACATAATCAGTGGCTTTACTTATGGATGAGTAACTCATTAAGAGTTAAAAATAAAAAAGAGTACATAAAACTCAAAAGGGTAAAAAGTGGGCCTGTTAGTTTATCTGGTGACTTAACTGGTTCCTCTTCTAAAGCACATTAGCCAAAGATAAAAAGAGAAGAGCAGCAACCTCCCATTCCCTTTATCCTGGCCCTAACCAATACTGGTACTCAAGAGCCCACTGTGTGGTGTAAGATTTGGGAGAATGGAGAAATTTCAGTTTGTAGTAATGGGAAAAGTCAGTTTCTAGAAGTCCTGAGTACACAGATTATGTTTATATTAAAATGAGATAAAATTAACTTCCTTAATTTTACCTGATTTTTTTGCATTAGTAGTAAAGGTATATCTTCCTGATTGCATTAATTCCATTTTTTTTGCACACTTTTTTTTTCTTTTTCTCTTTTTTTAGCCATTTCATTTCCTTTAGTCAAATGCAATAATGGACTATTTACTTTCAAAATAAATTTAGCCTACCTATTTTTCCTTTTAAACTTTGTACTATCCTTTTGGAATAACTGGAGCCAATCACTAACTGTTCCATTCAACAAAATGTCAGATTTTCTCTTCAATAACCGGTGTTGAGAAAACTGGATATATGTAAGAGACTGAAAATGGATTAGTGTCTAACTCCATACACAGAAGTAAACTCAAAATGAATCACAGACCTAAACGTAAGACTTGGAGCCATAAAACTCTTGGAAGAAAATATAGGCAAAAATCTCTTGACCATAATAAACATGAGTAATTTTTTTCCTGGACACGTCTCCTTAGTCAAGGTAAACAAAATAAAAAATGAACAATTGGGACTATGTCAAACTAAAAAGCTTCTGTACAGCAAAGGACACCATCAGCAGAACAAAAAGGCATCCTACAGTATGGGAGAATATATTTGTAAATGACTCATCTGATAAGGGGTTAATATACAAAACATATAGAGCTCACATGCCTCAACACCAAAAAGACGAGTAACCCAATTAACCCAATTAAAAAATGGGTGGAGAACCTGAACATTTTTCCAAAGAAGAAATACTGATGGCCAACAGGATAAGAAAAGATGCTCCACATCGCTAATCATCAGGGAAATGCAAATCAAAATGACAATGAGACAGCACCTCATACTAGACAGAATGGCCACCATCCAAAAGAAATAACAAGTGTTAATGGGGTTATGGAGAAAAGGGAACCCCCCTACACTGTTGATGGGAATGTAAATTGGTGCAGCCACTGTAGAAAGCAATATGGAGGTTCCTCAAAGAACTAAAAATTGAAATACTGAAAGACCCAGTAATTCCACTTCTAGGAATTTACCCAGAGAAAATAAAATCCCTGATCCAGAACGATACATGTGCCCATTTACTGCCACACTATTTACAAGAGCCAAGCAATGGAAGCAACCTAATTGTCCATCAATAGATGAATGGATAAAGATGTGGTACATATTCACAATGGGATGTTATTTAGCCACTAGAAAAAGAAAGAAATCCTCCCATTTGGACATACGGACCTAGAGGGTATTATGTTAAGTGAAATAAGTGAAATAAGCCAGGCGGAGAAAGACAAATACTATGATTTCACTTATTTGTAGAATCTAAAAACAAGACAAAACGAACAAAAAGACCCTGAGAAGTGATTGGTGGTTTCCATGGGGAAGGGGGTGGAGGAGGTGGGTGGGGACAAAGGGGCACAAAAATGCTCAATCATAATGTAAGGTGGTCATAGGGATGGTAGTACAGCATGGAGAATATAGCCAATGATTCTGTAACATCTTCCTGTGTTGACAGATACTAACTGCACTAGTGAGGGTGAGGACTTAATAATATGGGCAACTGCTGAACAACTGTGTGGTATTCTTGAAACCAATAAAAGAGTGTGTATCAATGATACTTCAGGAAAAAATAGTAAGACTAACTTCTCCAAAATGAATGAATGGGCATCATTTTTAAAACAAATAAACAAAAATGTCAGATTTTCTCTTTTCAAATGTCTACATAAAACTATTAAATTAGAAAACATTGCACAATAAAGAACTATATGCATAAAATAGAAATGAAAACTTAAAAAAAAAATTATTGACACAGATACTCTAGGAGATACTACTTACTATATACATACCTACCTTTTGACATAAATTCAGTGACAATGTAAATTGGCTCTTCAGAAACAACTGCATATAGTGGAACAAGTTTATCATGTCTTAATTTTTTCATTATCTGAGCCTCCTGAAGAAAGGCTTCTGGCATCATTGTACCTGGTTTTAGTGTTTTGATTGCTACTTTTGTGGTTCCATTCCATGTTCCTAGAGAAACAACACATTTTACTATTTTAATTGATTTTCACCTACATGAGCAGCAGTTACCACCAAATATTTTAACATATTAACTGTGGCATTTTAATCTGTGACTAAACAATGACAAAAAACAAAAGTTCAGCCTTCTTACCCATCCATACTTCACCAAAACATCCTTGTCCTAGTTTAACCTCTAGTCGTAAAGATTCTCGAGGGATTTCCCAAGCATCTTTTGCTAGACCTTGAGTCTGTGGTTTCACAGTTGGACACACAGTTGTTAACTTATGGCATAAACCATCAGCATGTTCTAGATAAATGAATAAACTACATTGTAAAAACAATTACGAAAATTAAGGTACATATACTGTATCAATGTTTTAAAATAAAAACAAAAACAATGTTCTATCAGTTTTACTCTAAAAGCACCCACACAAAAAGGATGTTGTATATGAGAAGCAAAACATAAGTGAAACATTTTGTTAGTTATTTTTATTGAATGCTTATTATGTCCCAGTTATTGTGCTAAGTCAGCACTTTATAAATATTTGGTATAAATGTGTCTTGGTAAACTTAAGCAACTTTCTCAAAGTCACACACTAAGTAAGTGCTGAAGATGAATTCAAAGCCTAGATCTGGCTGCCTTCAAAGTTCTGCTTTTGACCACCATGCCATACCATTATTTCTAATAATCATACAAAATCAAGGAAAATTTTCAAGAAATTAATTTGTTACATAATGGAAACTGAAACACAAAAACAGGGAATCCCAAATTCACAACAGCTGAAACACAAAAACAGGGAATCCCAAATTCACAACAGCTAAACTTATAAATCCTGCTTATACAGTCTTACTGTAAATAAGACATATTCCCTCTCATTCTCAACAAGTAACCACACAAATCCTCATTCTAACAACTATTACAGCTGATGTTCCTGCTTGGTAACATGTTAGATCAATGCCAAGATTGGTGGTTGACTTGATAAACTCAGTTGGCAGCTAGCTCTCACTGAAGAAGAAACTTCAGTGGAAACTACCTCCAACCCCCAAACTTAGTCATTTTAAAACTAGCAGATGCATTCATGTACCAAATAGGCAATGAAAATTTTTGAGACAGAAGAATACACTATTGAATACCTTTCAAAGGTCCTTGATAGACTGAAGAATGTCTATAGTTGTCATAGGTTAACTTTCTAGGAAAAATGCATCTTCAGATTATATTTTATTAGATTTATACTTTAGGAAGTCTTAGGTGGTCCAGCCAGGCAGAGGAAAATAACCCCAAAAGACATCTGATATGTTTTTTTTATTTCAAGTGTTCAGTTTTTCCTAATTAATTAAGTGTCCCTAAATAAAAGATTTGCTTTTATGCTTTTTTATTTATTGTCACAATCTATCTTGGTATTTATTTAACTGTTAAGAAATGGAACTTCAATGTAAACACTACACTAGTAAGATATAAGACTCAAATGATGATAGTCTGATTGTAGCACATCATCCAAGAACCCAGATCTGGTAATAAGTATGCCTGTTGCTCATTTTAGAACTATAATGCAACAGACATTTACTGAGTACATACTGTGTATACAGAACCTTGAACCATAAGAATTATGAAGACATGAATTCTGTCCTCATAAAATAGAACATGAGAAAATAATTTTCACCTTCAAAATATTCACATACCTGTGTAGTGCTTAACCAATTTCTGCAGAGTATCAAACTGTGCTCTAGTCGTGATATAGTATCCACCGTTGTCAAGTTTCCTAATTTTGTAGTGTTTTACATTGTCACCCCTTACCTCATCCCAATCACGAATAGAGAGGGAATAAGCACCTAGGGGGTGGAAATGAATATTTTTACTATATCATTCTCAAAATGCTGCTTAAGATAACTTTTATATTATACTAACATAACAATGTTCGTACCTTTAGTAGTTTCACTCTCTCTTACTAAGAAAATGCCTCTTTGATTCCCAGGATTCAAAAGTAATCTTTCAGCATCTTTTCTCCCCATTTTGCCAAAATACCATCTGGAGAAAAATGTATAGTGTTCTGAGTTAGAAAGATTTAAGGATCAGAAAAATTACACGTAAGTATTCCTAAGAATGGAGTAGGACAGAGAAGATGACAAAGAATAGCTATAGAACATTGCTTAAAAATACACTGAAATATAATAAAGGATCTTTATTTATTAAATAGGAAAATTATAAATATTATTGTCATATGATACTCTGTCACAGTGTTTATACATATTTACTACTCAGTATGTCTCTTAAACTCTACCTGGCAGTAACAGGAACAGTAAATGGGGAAGGAAAGGAAACAATGACATACAGGCTTACAGTCAATGGCAGACAGAAATATTAAAACTGTTGAAGGAAAAATAAAAGTGGTTCTCTGGCAACAGGGTGAACATCTGTAACCAGTAAGATGAAAGTAAACCATATCCAAATTATTAAGAACTTCAAATTACTCTGGCTTTGATCTAACATAGCCAGAGTAATTTGAATTTGTGAATAAAACGAGCTGTGGAGGAGCTTACAGAGTAAACAGAAAGTAAGTGCCATGCAGAAACAGAGACTTAATGGAGACAAATTACATAACATTAATAAAAGCAAACAAACATTGATAAAGTACCTACTATATGCAAGTCACATTATGTGTTAAGAGCTGTGATATGAAAATGAAGTAGTATCTACAGATAAAGTTAGTTTGACTTAAAAGTAATTATGTCACTGAAGGTGGACTTACTTTTAAAAGTTGCAAGAATAATACATAGAACTTCCCTATATCCCACCCAGGTTTCCCAGCTGCTAACATTTTGCTTTATCATATTTTCTCTTTCCCTATGTGTGTATCTTTCCGAACTGAGACTAAGTTGCAAACATACAGAATCATTACCCCTAAAGGCTTCAGTCTGTCCTTAAAGACAAGGATACTCTCCTGCATAAACACAGAACAAGTACTTAGGTCAAGAAATTAACCCTGATACATAATACTATCAGCTGAGGGTAAATTTTTGAAGCAAGAGACTACAGAATATAAAAAGGGTTAATGTAATTTGTTTAAAGTGGGGCTAGAGGAGGATGGAGACTAGGTTTAACACAGTATTATTAATGCAGATTCATTTATGATCCCACTGTAAGCAAATAATATGCCATTAATTATTCATTTTCAAGTAACATCTATTAATATGATACATTAGCTGTATTAAGACTGGTATGTAATTGTGTGTGTGTAAAGTTGTGGCTATGTAGAATGTGCATTAAAAAAATCAAAGTAATTAATAAAATATGAAGTAGTGCCATACTCTTCTGCCTGAATGGAATCTGCAGGGGCTACATAATTGCTAGGGATATAGCCATTCTTTCCTGTAGCAATTGATCTTGCTTCCCACCAGTCTCCTTCCCTGCAACACATAAAACAACAATTACCACAAGGTAGGCTCTCACTCAAGACACATCTGCTGCAGTGTTGTCTTATATCTGAAATAGATGAGAAATACTGCTTCCATGTTTTATTTATGCATTCATTTGACCAAGAATGAAACTCAAAGAAAAACATTTAAAAGGAGGTTATGTGAATTAAGGGAATAAGGCTAATAAGCAAAAGCACGACTACCTATTTCTGCTCCAAGCCAAAAAAAGAAAAAAAACTTACACTTCAATCTCAGTCATAAGATCTTTTTTACATAAGTCTTTCAACCTAAACAATAAACTAACCGAAGAAAACAGTTTGGGAAGTGATCTTTCAAATTACAGTTTTGATTGAATATTTTTTAAAAGCTTTATTGATATATAATTTGCATACCATAAAATTCCCCCATTTAAGATGTACACTTTAGTGGGTATTAATATATTCACAGTTGTGCAACTACTACCACAATCATTTTAGAACATTTTCATCCCCCCCAAAAGAAACCTTGTACCATTAACAGTCACACACTCCCTCCTAACCCCACCATTTGCCAACCACTTATCTGCTTTCTCTTTCTATGGATATGCCTATTGTGGGCATTTCATATAAATGGAATCATACAATATGTTTTCTTTTTGACTGGCTTCTTTCACTTAGCAGATGTGTTCAGGGTTCACTATAGCATGTATCAGTAGTTCATTCTTTTGTTACTGCCAAATACTTCTCTTTTTAACAATACTTAATAATGTTCCTTTTTAGTCATTTTAGGGAAAAAATCAGGTGCACTACAACTCCTGAAGCCAAAATATTAGCAACAGGCAATAACAATTAATACCGAGATATATTTACAAAATGTTAACCATAAATATCCAAATAAGTATAATATCAATTCAGAACATGAGAATTATATATGTAGTTTTTAATACATAAGCCTTGACTTTTTCAAAGTTAATATGAAAGGAACAAATATCACTCTCTATTGAGGAGGATATATATGGGCTCCACTACCAAAAATTAAAGGCATGAGGTAAATTTGCTCTTTAGAAAATGGGATGGAAAATCCCTTGGTAATTCAAATATTTACAAATTCATACACTTGGTTTGTACTCTCCTAGTTTATGTTAAGTACTTTCAGATACACAAATTGAAAACTTTGCATTTGATCCTGTTAATCATTCACTGATTCATTCAAACATTTACTGAATACCTTTTAAGTGACAAATTTAATGACAGGGTGTGCTGGAAACAGGTTAAGAAGGCAGAACTTACTCTGAAGGAACTGTCTAGAGCAGGGTTTCTCGTACCTGGCAATACTGACCCTTCGGGCTGGACAATGCTTTGCTGGAGAGGGGTTGTCCTATACACTGTAGGATGGTCAGCACATATCTGCCCTCTCTACCCACTATATGACAGTAGCAGTTCCCTGACTGTAACAACCAAAAATGTCTCCAGACATTCCCAAAAGTCTCCGGGGTGACTCTGTCCCAGGTTGAGAATACCTATCTAAAAGAATCATAAGCATGTGATAAATTACGATTCAAACAAAACTGATGGCAGCTATGACTGAGGTTTGCACAGGGTGCTATGTGAACTTGGAAGACAGACATCAAACCCAGTGGGCATTAGGGACTGAGCCAGGCAAGAGAGGAAGAATGTCAAGAAGGGCTTCCAAGGGAAAGTACACAGGAATACACACTTTGAAGGAGAAGCAGAGTTGGCCAGATAAAGGGAAAAAATGGAGAGATAAAGGAGTTGCATTCCAGAAAAAAGAAATGGCACATGCAAAGGTAGGGTGAGGGTGGGAAGCCCCAGTGTACTCATAAAACTTCAAGTTAATTGGGTAAGGTGGGCAGGACAGTGAGAAAGGGGAAGAAGCTCAATGAATGATGCCTGCTATTATTTTTCTTTTGTCTTAACAGCAACTAGTGGCCTTGAAGGATTTTAAAGCAGAGAGACATGGTCACATTTTATGTCCTGGGACAATAACTACAGCAAAATTTGTCAGCAAGGATGAAAGCAAACGTGGCTAGAAGTAAACTGACCACATTATGTATTTTAAGGAGTTACAAAGTGGTTGCTATGCCTGCTAGTGAAATTATTGGCTCTGTTTTCCATAATAAGCATTGACTTCTCTATAGTGGGCCACTAAATGACAAAACTTTGTCACATAAGGGAAAAGCAACTTAATTTGGTCAGTTTGGGATTATAGAGGTTCCTTCCCTAGCCTTTTTGATTTGTGAAAGACATAAGATCCTTAAATAACCTGGTAATTAGTTAAAAAGTACACAGAATTATCTTTATAAAGACTTTTTTTTCAAAGTAATGTACTTACTTGCATATACTCCCTCAATCCTCATTCCTAAATCTCTACTCCTTATGGCATAACCATATACAATAGCACAATTTGTAGAAGTAATAACTTCTGGCTGCGGCAGCAATATTAGGCTGTGTATTTAAAGAGACCAAATGCACTGTCCAACCCAATGGGCAGATCCATGCCCTACCACTCCCATCTCTAAATGAACTAGCTCAGTGGTTTCAGTACTAAGACTAAGTGTCTGTCAGTATCTCTCCCTCACAAAATATTCACAACACTTACGTATTGTTAATTATTTGAAATCTTTCACCCTTCTTAAATGAAAGGTCTTCCGTAGTTCTAGCTTCATAATCATATAAGGCCACAAATATAGTAACACCACCTATTGGAGCAAAAAAAGACCAAGGATAAATTATATAAATAAATTCACCAAAGAGAAATAAACCAATGTCAGCAAAAGGGCTTATGCATAGTTTTCTTCCTAGTTTCCAGAATCTACTTTTAAAGCTGGAGATTTGGGCAGATGGAGTTTTCAAGTTAGTAAAACACTCTCTTAAGACGTCCATGAAATGAAATTACCATGCTCAACAAATTCTAAATTTCTGCAGGCCCAGAGAAACAAATTTAATTTTGATTTATAGCAGCAACATCTCCAGCTTTAAAAGACAATCAAAGTTCAAATCAATTCTTTGGCAGAAAAAGCATTAGCAAGTATTATAAACTATGGGCACTGATCATCTCAATTTCTTACAAACAGGTGAACATTTCCATCCTTAAAACTTATCATTAACAGTAATAACTAGGGTTTTAGTAAATTTTCTTATACTTAACATGAAAAGATAACAACATGTTTTTCTTAGAAATTAAATGGTATGATTGATATGAATTATAAATTCCAAAATAACTGTGTCATATGTAGCATGGTGTCCAGATGCTTAAAAACAGTATACTCTGCAAACAAAAGACAAATTATCTCACTCATTTGGCTTCTCCCCTGAGTTCCAACCTATGTTAACTGCCTATCTGACATCTCCACTCAAATGTCTGAAAAGCACTCAAAACTTATTAGGTACTGATTTTTCTACTCTAACATGTATTGGTCAACGCTTCCCTGCCTAAGTAAATGACACAATTATCCATCAGATACTCAAGCCAAGCCCATTACTATAGCACTGTCAGTTCTACCTCTAAAATACCTCATTTATCTACTTTCTTTTCCACTGCCACTGCTGCCACCGTAATCCAAGTCCCTGTTCTTTCTCACTGGGTCTGCTAGGGCTGGAGAGGGTAGTACCCTCCTGACCCATATCTTCATCCATTCTCCACACTTCACAGAGTTTTTTAAAAAGGAAATTCAATTGTGCAAATCCTTTTACTTCTTTCTGGCTTTTGAATAAAATTCACACTTCTTACCAGAGTCTACACGTCCAGAGTAATCCTGACTCTTCAATCCCCTATTATACAATTCTATCCACTCTGCACTAGTCCTCATAACTGCCATGTTTATCTGTATCTCCTAAACTTTATATCTGTTATTCTCTCTTCCCAGAAAGCTCTTCTACCAGCTCTGCACATATTCAGGTCATTCTCATCAATCAAACCTCAGCTCAAAGGATTTCTTCTCAAGATGGCTTTCTTGATTATCTAAAGGGCTCCTGCCAGTCATTCTGGATAGTTCCTTCCTAGCATTTAAGAACAATTAATGATCCTGTTTAGTTGTTTATTCACTAATTATTGTCCAACTCTCATTATACTGTAAATATCATGAGGGCAGACACCTTGTTTCTCTTGCTTACAAGTCTTTGTATCTGGCATTCAGACACTTCATATTTGTTAATAAATGAATATCCAATGAATGGACTAGTTCACCTATGTAAACTGCCTAATGTAACTAAGGTATGTCTGTAAGTATCAACATTTAATCATTTTAGATTATTATCTTTACCAATTATAAAATCCTACAAAGAATTTAAACTTGATAACTGAGAAATTACAGAAATTTTTTTATCAGTGATTATTCTATGTGTTCATTTCACAATCAGTGGATAGCTCTCATCCATATTTACTGTCTGTAAATTTTTTAATTGAGGTATCACGATGTACCATCTTATGAGGGTTTCACATGAACAACATTGTGGTTTCAATATTCACCCATATTATCAAGTCCCCCACCCTGCCCATCACTGTCTATCAGCATAGTAAGATGCTATAGAGTCATTACTTGTCTTCTCTGTGCTGTACTGGAAACCATAGCTATTTTTTACTAAAGTGTTTAGAGTTAGGGAGTTGAAATTAACACTGTAATTGAGTTTTTGATGTCCGTAACTCCCCAAAAAACAGTCTGATGGAATTAGTGTATAGCATTCCTCTAGCCCCTATTATTGCTCTGGAGGTGAGCAGAGCAGAGGGACAAATTTATAGTTCATGCCTGCAGAAGTGACTCCTCTTTTGTTCCCACTGGTTGTTAGTAAGGACACATGCCGCTCAATTTGATGCTGGCAGCTGTTTTGCCAAGCCTAAGGATAAAGTGGACACCCTAAGGGCTGGAGGAGAGAGATCAAAGAAACTGAGTCCTTAATGACTTCAAGGAACTGCTGAACTAGGGAACCCTGGCACTTCTTAAGCCAGCTGTGGTTTACTCATGGGAAAAGCATCCTGACCTGGGGCGCTTCACAAAATAACTCTCTCTCTTTTAAACTTTCTCACTACTTTTTTTGAGGATTTTAAGCTCCATGAAAGGTTGTCAGCTGTTACTTCTTGCTGTTCTCTGAAAGGATATCATAATGTCATAAACAGGGTTCTGGAATAGAACATTAAATCTGGGCTCTTCTGCTTATTACCTGTGACTCTGGAGAAAAAAAAATCACCTAAACTCTGAGTCTCAGGATTTTTCTCTTTTAAATCAGTAGGATGTGATAGAAAAACTGTATTATCACCACACTGGCATCTAACTTAACATTTATTAAGTAACTACTGTAAAATTTTAATAGTTTACAATCCCAAGAAGTTATACCATTCTTGAAATAGGGTTATTATGTTTTTAATCTCTATCTCCCCCAGTGCCTGCCACATAGTAGGCACTCAATAATAATTTGAAAAATGTACTAAGGAAATAATGGTGTGAACCCTGTACATAATCACCATCAGATCATCACCAAGTTTTCCAGAATATTCATGTTATAATACGATTTTAATTTTTATGTCAGAAGCTTTAATTATCATATAAACTTATTATAAAAGTCCTCTAGTAAGTTATTTTTCTCTAGTAAGTTATTTATAAAAGCCTATGTATGTATTGCCCAAGGTTCCATTCTCAAACCTACAGCAGAATTGTCATCCATTTAAATCTCACCTGTTAAACCAGCAGGGTAGGAACTTTGCACCATTGAGAACGAGGAAGATGCTCCTCCAAAGGGCGTCACCCCTGAGGATCCTCCAAATGGTGTTATGGAAAGACTGCTAAAATTAACAGATGTTCCCTTTGCTGAAGAGGATGGTGTCACTGCAGTGTGCTCTGCTCCATAATGGCTGATACTTGTACTGACAGGTTCTGGAGTGTTTTCAGTTCTGTATTTAATGGCTGGACTTTTGTTCTCTTTACTTTTAATGCAGCCCATTATCAAATCTACAAAGGCATTAAGTCAAATATTTTGAGAAGCAGTTAATTTATAAAGTATACTTCAAAAAGATGCAATTCAAAAGCTGACTCTAAACAAGGCATTGTTCTCCTGAAAAAAGTAACATTAACAAAACAACCTACACAGTTGAAAATGAAGTTTCTTCTCATTTATCTTTGCAGTTTCACTAAAGCATCATTGCAATCATGTGATTCCTTCTTGAGCTGAACCATTTTTAATGATCGAATGACAACATGGCACAGTGGGCTGGGAAAGCCATTAGCTCTGAAGCCAGAGTGACTTAAGTTTGAATTCTAGCTTCTTACTTACCAGTGGGTTGACTTCAGGTATGTTGCTCAACCTCTCTGTACCTCCGTTACTTGATAAAATCACCTACTTCATAAGGTTTTCTATGAGAATTAATTTAAGTTTATTACAATTTCTAGACAATACCTGGCACGCAGCAGGTACTGGCAAATACTGGTTCCATTCTTTCTACACCAGCACTTTTTACAGAAATATCATCTGAGCCACACATATAAGTCAAAATGTTCTAGCAGCCACATTAGAAAAATAAAAAGAAACAGGTAAAATTCATTTTAATAACGTATTTTATTTAATCCAGTACATCTAAAATACAATTATTTTAACCTGTCATCAATATAAAAAACTTTAATGAGATGTTTTATATTCTTTTTTTTGTACTAAGTCTTAGACTTACAGTACATCTTGGTTTGACCAGGCACATTTTAAGTGTTCAGCAGTGTATGTGGTAGTGGCTACCATATATAAGACAGTGTAGCTCTGTATCTTTTTCCTTATTGATAGTCACACTCCCAATGCTCACCAGATCTGACACCAACCTATCTTTTCCAACTCCATCTCCTACTATTTCCTCATTCTTATTTTATGCATGTTTAAAAAAAAACAACAAAACCCTGTTTCCTCAATACATACCCCTGTGCTTTCCCAGTTTTATGGGTATTTTTTTCCTCCCAGAAGTGCCTCTGTTCACAATATTCTCCTTCTACCTCTACCTGCTAAAATTTATCCAGTCACTGATGTTACTTTTGCCACAAGTGCTACTTTTCCATTTACCTTGCCCCGTAATTGGTAAAATATCTTTTTCCTTAAAACCTCCAATGTACTTTGGGAGATTTCTATAATGGGACTCTCACCTTAGTCCATTTTTGCCTAATTCCTACCCTACCACCAAATTATAGGCAATACATTTCTTAAAAGCAAGAGTCACTCATCTCTTACGTAGCATACCAATATGACTTACGCACAGATTTACTAATACTACAAAATCTACATTATTCACTTCCTGCAGAGCACTAATGCAGATTTTATTAATTCACTTTTGAAGGTCAGTTTTTCCCTTCCAATATGGCATCAAAAGAATGTAGGTGACTGATAAGATAATCACTTCATAAATTCTTAAAGTCTGAACATTTACTGCCTTGGCTATATAATAATTTTAAATGTAGCTATAAATATTAAATTAGAAATAATCTCAGAATCTAAGAGTTGGAAGGTTTTCAGATCACTATCACTTAAGAGATGTTAAGTACAAGCACTGAAACATGACTGGGACTAGAAATTTTAATATCTACTAAAAACACTTATGGAGAATTCCAAGTTAAATATATAAAAGGCAAGTGCTTCTAAAAGTGTTAGGAGAAACTTAAGGTAAATCATTTCATAATCTAGTGTCTTCTGTATTTCTAGCCTCATAATCATTTAAGGCCACAAAAATAGTGACACCACCTACCAAGGATAAATTATATAGATTAAATTAACAGAAGAGAAATAAATCTATGCCAGCAAAAAGGCTTACACTTAGTTTTTTTCCTAGTCTCCAGAATCTACTTTTAGAAGCTGGAGATTTGGGCAGATGGAGTTTTCAAGTTAATAAGATGCTCTCTTAAGACCTTCCACAAAACTACTGTACTCTACAAATGGCAAGACTAATAGATACATGATAGATAACTTCCACATGGGGGGCAGGGGTGGGGACAAAATCTCGTAAGTGAACACATGAAAAGAGCTCCTTAGAAGAGTAAGACAGCCTATCAAGAGGCAGTTCACAAATGAAATATGGAATGCCAATTAGCATAGAGATATGGCCAACCTTCCTAATCTTCTAATAAATGCAAATTTGTAAAGGTACATTTTTTGCTTATCAGATTGGCAAATTTTGACTAAATGTTCAAGGATGATGGGTGAATTTTAACCAACAGTGACTGTATATACACAAACTTGTTCAACTAGAAAAATATTTTAAAATCCACATAAAAATATACACAATGGAATATTATTCAGCAATAAGAAGAAAACAAATCCTACCATTTGCATGGAGCTAGAGGGTATTATGCTCAGTGAAATAAGCCAGGCGGAGAAAGACAAGTACCAAATGATTTTACTCATCTGTGGAGCATAACAACAAAGCAAAAACTGAAGGAACAAAACAGCAGCAGGCTCACAGAACCCAAGAATGGACTAACAGTTACCAAAGGGAAAGGGACTGGGAAGGATGGGTGGGAAGGGAGGGATAAGGGGAATAAAGGGCATTATGATTAGCACACACAATGTAGGTGGGGGCACAGGGAAGGCAGTACAGCACAGACAGAACAAGTAGTGACTCTATAGCATCTTACTACACTGATGGACATTGACTGTAATGGGGTATGTGGTGGGGACTTGATAATGGGGGAATCTAGTAACCACAATGTTGCTTTTATAATTGTATATTAATGATAGCAAAAATAAAATCCACACAAAAATTTTCTAAAATGATGTACACCCAAATCTAAATATTAGGAAAATATAATAACAACTACATAAATTAGACTTTGAAGAAGAGCAGTTGTTGCTGGAGAAAAAATTATGAAGGCTAGCAAATGTGCTACTATAGTGTTAATAACAGAATGACTAAACTTATCACAGAGGTTATTATAACTACCCATCCCCATTTCCCACTTCCATAATTCCTCATTTCTATCTTTTTCTTCATCTAGGATCTTTGCTTAGGCCTTTTCCTCCAGAAGACATCACTCCTAACTTAGCTCCTCTTCCTTTGATAGGCATACCTTTTTTTACTTACCCTAACAGGCAGTCGTCCATTACTACTCTTACTCTGTGCACCTACCGCCTCTTTTAATCAGAGTCTCTGGTCCAAGTCCTCACATCTACCCACTTACCCATCCTAGTAGCTCCAGGGTAGACCATCACTTCAGTCCAGATCCACCAGTGCGCCAGTATCAATGCACAGGAGCCATCACTGCCTCCTACCTCCTTTATAAACATTACAAATGCAGGGTGTCATTTACATTTTTATGTAAACTTCACGTACAATATGAGTTAAAAATTTTGGGGGGTTGTCTCAGAACTGTAACATCATGTAAACCACTTATACGGGAAAGCCTCTTTCAAGTTCCAAGATACTAATTCACTAGATATATTTATTAACAACATATATTTATGAGACACTGTAAAGGTAACTGACAATAGCAAGAGACAGTCCCTTTACTTTAAAAAGGATCACAAGTAAGTGTAGGGAACAAATACAGTATTGTATAATGTGAACAATGCCAGAGTGAAAAAAATGCTTGAGTGGAGGCATGTACAAAACACATGGGAACACAATATAAGTTACCAGCTCTGCCTTGAGTGCTCGGCAAAGAAAATTTTACAAAGACAGGAGCATCTAAGCTAGGTCTTGAACAGCTGGAGATATAGGGAATAGGAGTACTATATTCTAGGAAGAATGAAGAATGTACAGGAGGGCTCAGGTGCTTGAAAAAAATGTGGTGTATTTGGGGAACAGATCTGCAGCAAGAGCATAAGAGGGTATTGTGAGCATGGTGGGAAAGATAGCGAGGGTAGAGGGGAGTTTACCGACAAAGGGACTTAATTTGCTACACAGTAACTTTTAGACTTTACCCAGGGAGTCCTGGCAAGTTATTTAAGATTCTTTTAAAGGTGAATAGCAGAAGGATTTGTTTACTACTATGGCAGAATTATGAGTGAGAGACTGGAAAGAAAGAACGGTGGCAGTCAGTCAAGATATAAAATTATTGCAATGACGATGTGAGAAAAGACAAAAGAAGAACACTGTGGGGCCAAAGATGAGGGGGAAAACGAGAGGTAAATACTACACAGAAGTTTAGATGATCAGTTCAATACGGGTAGAGGAGATATGAAGAGAAAGGAGTCTTTATTCACTCCCCAGAATTTATTGAAGACTTTGAAAGTTGTGACTGTGTATGTTAAGGAATGGATGACTCCAAAGTTTCTAGTTTGAACTGAGTGGAAAGTAATGCCACAGCTGAGGTAGGTAGAGAAGAGAAAAACAGGTTTTTCTGGACATGTGAGTTCGTTGTCAGATGTTAGTTTTAGATGCCTATGGGGAATCATGTTGAAAAGTCTAGTAGGGAAAGGATAGTAATTCCAAAGCTTAGGAAAAGCCAGAAATGAGAGAAAGATTAAACAAAAATATTTTTACAGTTTAACCACACCTTCTGGAAATGATAAAACTCAAACAAGATACAGATTTGGAGTTATGCAAAGAATTAATTTAGTGTTATAGGAAACCTACATAATAAGGGATACAAAGGCAAAGAAATTAAGCAGCAGCAATTTAGAGTTGGGTGTACTTCTATCATTATAAAAACATGGTTGGAAAAGACAATCATTAACTTTGAGATAGTAGAATGTGTTGGAGAAGTTTCACCTATATCTGTGGTGTTTTTTTTCCTTAAAAGAAACATGAAACAAACAGAGGAAAATGTTAATGTACTAAATGTAGGTAGTAGATAATAACAGCTGTTGAGGTATTTTATAGTGTAATACATTTTTAATAAAAAGTAGAATAGTAGAGTGGGGATAAAGTACGTGGGAATATATATACACTTCTATACTTCCAGGAAGAAAATGGCTAATAAAGCTAAAGAGCAAAATGCAATCAAGTGGCATTTAAACATATTATAAAAGGCCAGATGATTAGTAATTAGGAGCTAACTATTGACTTTAGTACGAGCATATCTTAGCATCTTTGCAATAAAAGCTAGATCGCAGTCAATCTGAATAATAAATTAATGACTAGGCCATGAAAATGTGGAGAATTTTTGGAAAGTAACATTTTCATAAGTTGGGAAAACAGACTTTTTATCAAGACATTTTCAAGGATTTCTTCGTCTACTTCACTGATTCTCTTCAGTCTTAGTGTAACCTAATACAGCAGATCCTTGGTTATTCAACAGCCATTCCTTTCGTTTTGACAAAAGAACACTGATTTCTTTACCTTCCTTCCATTCACCAATTCCTTCATCTGTCTAGCCCTAGACAGTAAATAATGATTGACTTAAGCCACTCATGTGGTCTTATTCTTTCTGCCAATTAACTGTGTATTTGCCAATTAAGAATGGGCTTCTACAAAGTTTTCCTCATTTGTAAAACAGAATACAAAATAGGAATATTCCTTCCCTAGCTGTTATCATCTATGATGCCTAAATCTGGGCAGCCTGCCAGAGACTACAAAAAACCCATCTAAAAGGAGGACACCATAATCCTCACAACAGCAGGGGAAAGATGAAGGAACTGGGTTCCTCGGCGATGGTGCTCAGGTACTGAGTTATATGACCCCAGAATAACCCTAGAATACACTTTAGCTCTAGAAATCTTATTATGTGATGTAACAAATATCTACTGCATAAAACCAGTTTTAGTTTTGTTACCTGCAGCTCAAAGAATCTTAAAATGCAAACTACTTAAATAACATGACAATGGTTAATATATTAAATCCCTTTCAACCTATCAAGATTCAACAGGTAACAAAAACAGATCCCAAACTTCCTTCAAAAAATTTACATTAATCTGAAATATCCTTAAAATCATAAAACTCAGTTTATAAAGGCTAAATTAAAATTTTGACTTAAACAATTCATACTGATATTTGATTGAGCATTTGCCAATAAACAAGGCTTTAACTCAATTTTTTTTTTGAGAGGGCATCTCTCATATTTATTGATCAAATGGTTGTTAACAACAATAAAATTCTGTAAAGGGGAGTCAATGCTCAATGCACAATCATTAACCATTCTCAAGCCTAATTCTCGTCAGTCTCCAATCTTCTGAAGCATAACGAACAAGTTCTGAAGCATAACGAACAAGTTCTTAGATGGTGAACAAATTCTTACATAGTGAATAAGTTCTTACATGGTGAACAGTACAAGGGCAGTCATCACAGAAACTTTCGGTTTTGATCACACATTATGAACTATACAATCAGGTCAAATATGAATATTCATTTGATTTTTATACTTGATTTATGTGTGGATCCCACATTTCTCCCTTTATTATTATTATTATAATTCTTAATAAAATGCTGAAA